AATTGATAATTGGGAAGTTGAAATCGCCTCGTTTGTCATAGATTTTAGTGTGAAGTCGTCCATCTGTGTCAATATTGAGGAAAAGATCAAGGTATGAAGCAGTCATTCTAGTATCAGTAGTATCCTTAATTTCAAGTTCACTGGGATATATATGAGATGAAAGTACTGACTAAAAATGGGTTATTCAGTGATAGGACATCATCAATATATCTGAAAGTAAAATTGAAGAATTTCGCAAGGTGCTTTTTCTTTTTTGTCTTTTAGAAGGTTCTGAATGAATTCTGCTTCATACGAGTACAAAAACAAATCGGCCAGTAGGGGTTCACAATTTATACCCATTGGAATGCCGACTCTCTGTTGAAATATCAATCCTCCAAACTCAACAAATATATTGTCGATCAAAAAGTCCATCATTTCGATATCATCTTCAGTATATTTTCTGATAGAATCAGTGTGGTTAATCACAAAATAAGAATTATTATAACCCAAAATAAGAAATTTATATCTACGATTTCCATTTTTATAGAAAAAGCTCTGTTTAATGAGATGGTGAAGTCGATCTTTCAATTGAGCATGGGGAATAGTAGTGTAAAGCGTAGAAAAATCAAAAGTTTTTAAGTTGCTGCAAAATTGCAGAGATTTTGATCTAAGATTTAGCAGTAGATCTTTAGAATTTTTAAGAATCCACATCTGATTGACACAATTGGTTGAATATATCTCATCACAATATTTTTGAAGGCAATCTTTTACTGTAGAAAGAATAGTAGTCAGCACTTTAGAAAGATGTTTAGTTGAACATCTTGATGATCCAGCTATGTATCGTTCTGTATAAGGGGTTTTGTGAAGTTTTGGTATCCAGTAATATGACGGTAGATTTTCTTCTTTTTCTTTGATGTTAATACCAAAAGAAAGGACAGATTTGTGATTTTGTAAAATTTCATCCTTTGTAAGTGATGTTAAAGAATATGTAGGATTATCAGTTTTGTTGTTTATTCCAAGCTCTTTTGTGAGACATTCCAAGTAATGGTTTTTACATATGAAGACAATATTATTGGAGGCTTTATCTGCTGGAACAACGACATGTTTGTCATGCAAAGAGGATAAAGCATCCACAGCCTCCGGGTTTTTGAATGGGTTAGTAACCCTTGTGCTCATAGTACATCGTAGTTTCTGAATGCGTTTCTGAATGCATGATCGAATAGCTTTGATCCATTCAGACAAAGTGTACAGTTCTGGTTCATCTGGCTCACGCTTTACCCATTTCTGGCATAGTCTTCAACTGCATCCATCAGTAACCTGAAGATATTTTCCCAGTTGATGGGCTGGGGAATTTTATATTTTGGTCCCTTGGCTAACAACTCTCTTAGTTGTTCATTGGTTACGATGCCAAGGTCGCCAGTAATAACATGACCAGTTGGACTATAATTGTATTTTGACGATGCACATGGTTGAAAATCTTGGATGCAATAGGCTTGGTGTAAGTATATCAAATTACAGGTGTAGCTTTATTTTTGAAGTAATCAGGTATAGTTTTTGGTACAGCTTTCTGGTGGAAAATATTGCTAATATTGATAGTATCATAACCTTTATTGGCGAATTCTACTTTAAAAAAATACCTTTTTCCTCATCTTTGGAAGTAGTGGATACGGTTTTAAATAGTCTATGGTTAGCAATGTCCATGACTTTTGCAACTAATCTATACAAAACAGAAGTAGAATCAATAACGGAAGTAATTTGGGCCTCTTGAAATAGTAAATAAAGTTTAGACAATGGAATGAAGTATAATTTAGTTCTGATATCATCAATTCCTTAAGGTTTTTGAACGGACGATAACAGACTATCAATAGTCACGGTGTGAACAGCAGGTGGTGTATAATTTCTGTGACCATGACTTCTATTTCGTCGAGCAGAGGTGTTAAATAATTGTAATGTATTGACAGTACTACACCTGGGACTAGACAAAATACCTACACCATCAATTTTGTTATTGCATCCATAGTGAATGGCTGTTCCCAACTCTCTAATCCAAAGTCTTCTCTTTGTAACCGATATGTTGTGCTCAATATGGGATCATTTGTTGAATGATCAATTTTCTCTATAATCCGGACTTTCATTGAAACAATAGAATGGTCAGGGTTATTAAAATGTTTATAGAGAAATTTGTTGTTATTAGGATCATTAACATTAGACCGATGGTCATTCATTCTAAAATTGAGTCTGTCAAGTTTCCCCGACATAGATCAGTCCACAAAGAGCACATTCAATATCGTACACAATATTGGAAGCAGTACAATTCAAATTCTCATGACTGTGTGTATTGTAACTTTTGATGGTCAAGTTACTTTGAAAGCAGGTATCAGATATTAGTATATCACAGGTTTTACAGTTTTTACGGTTACATTTGGAAATAGTGAAATATTGTAAGTTGTCATTGAAATCTAAAATATCTGAAAGTTCAACAGTACAGGGCCGAATATAGTCAAACTTGTCTGAATTTTTATAGTACAACGAAGAATCAGAAGACTGCGCATGTGTCGTTTTTATTACATCCTTTAAGATGATCCTGGGGACACCTGATTTTTCGGTGTTGTTGTGTCCTTGACAACATCCGATCGACACCTTTTTATCCTGGGCGACGTGTCATCCAATCAGGAACCTGTTGTTCAGTGGTTGTCGTTTGTTGATATTGTTCATAATTGTTTCTCGTTTTTTTATATAGATTAGACCGTTGGTCTTCCTGTTTGAATTGTTTTACACTAGTCATTTTGGGGCCCTTTATAGCTTGCTGTTAGGGGTGAGCCAAGGCTCCGTGTTGAAGGCCGTACTTTGACCTACAATTGTTTACCTTTTACACATTGTGAATTGGATGGAGAGTTGTCTCATTGGCACTCATAGCACATCTTCTTATTTCTAAGTAATAGTCATACCACAACTCTTTTGATAAAAAATATGATCAAGTAAAATATTTGGAGATGAACGTACAACTTGGCAACAAAAAACGCAGATTTCTGACGTTTTTGCACATTATAGGACACGGCATGACTTGATGAAATAGACACAGATTCGAAAAATGAAAGAAAATAGAGAGGTAACGTCTATGACGCAATATAGGATGAGATATGGAGTTGATAGAAGCACACATACTTGAGGTTAAAATTAGATGACTCTTACATTTTTAAATGAAAAATATAATATTGTGCCTCTCTTAAGACAATGAATCTTAATATTAAGAGACAACAAAATTTGCGTATTCAAATTTAAAGAAGATGAAATGCTTCCGAATTTATGCACATAGTGAAGAGGTATTTGGAATATTAGACATTTTCTTCTCGTCCTGCTTCAAAAGAGCAAAATATGCAATGGGACGACTTGTGACAACATTAAATCCCGTCAAAAATCACCACTCTATGTAGTTGCTTTAATCTGCATTTCTGGTGGTTACAAGTGATCGACCAGCCTTTATCTTCATGATTGACTGAAACACATGCATGCATTCCATTAACTGGCGTACACTGGAGCCAGCTTTTATATGACAGTTCCCTATCACACTGACTAAATTATGAATAAAATCTATCATTAATCAAAATTAAAACAAAAACCTTAAGCTCAAATTTTTATTGATAGAATGTACAAACATCGTTCATTCTAAATCTAAAAATACAAAATAAAAAGTAAATATATACATGAAGATTTTTGTCTCTCATGATCAGGTATCAACTATTATGCAAACTAACAAACTCATTTGAATAGAATAATGGTTATATCTCATTTCAACAGACACATTAAACTGTTACACAATCGTTTTTCTCCATGGCTGTTGCTTCAAACGTTTTGACATTAGTCACAGTACATTTAAAAATTTGTATCAATATTATATAAAATTTTAAAAATCAAATGTTTATTTCCATATAGAATTTAAACAGTAAGTTTGTGACAAGTACAAAATAAGTATACAATATAACTGAAAATTCACACATATATACACAATCATTTGATTACAGAGTCATTGTCCTAAGTTCTTATACTTTTTAATGTAGGACACCAATTTATTTACTTTTGATGGATTGACAATAAAAATCACCTTTTCTTCAATACACAAATCTTGAACAGAGTTCTCATGTTTCCAAATTACAAAAAAGTTGTTTTTCAGTTCACTATTTAATTCCCAATATAATAAAAAAAGTCTATATCTTATCTGTACCAGTCAGGAATATGACAGTTGTTTTCCATTCGTTTGATGTGTTTGAGTTTTTGATTTTTCCATTAGATAAAGGACTTTCCGTTTTGAATTTTCCTTAGATCTTTTTTTTTCCTTTATCTTACTTTTTATACAGACGTAAGTTTCCTAAGCTGGACCAAGTTAGATATCAAACCTACATACCATCCTCACAATAAATGCAAAAACGTTACCAGAGGTTAGTCTCCACGAAGCATCACAAATTTCTTCTATTAAAAATTTCCATTATAAAACTAGTCAGATTTAAGGAAATTGGATTAGTTAGATTTAAAATGTTAATTTCAATTATTTTTTTAAACCATCTAACCTAATGAACATTACTTAATTAGGCAATATCATTTACTTCACAACATATAAGTAAGTATTCTCCATAACATTCTATACACAATTCTGGTATACCGTCGTTGACTTTCTCCATTCGCTTTCTTTTGTTTTGTTTTGTTTTGTTTTGTTCAATTTTTCATTTTAAAATTATATATGTTTCAATCATGTTTTAAATTTTAAATATTGTGGATCCATAAAACATCCTCCCCTACAAATATGAAAAAATCTAAAAACAACAGGCAACTAATATTTAATATTTAACACTCTCATCTGTACGGTTAAAGGATTTCCACTGCAATTCATAGTTTTAGTACACCATAAGGAGGTACGGATTAGTATAAACATTTGTGAATTGCGTAAGATTTCCAAACTAATTTCGAACTAACATAAACATATATGCGATCTTTCACCACTTTCATTTGTGTTTAAATGACTACACTATTTGTCAAATACATGAAAGGGTATGTTTTTTGTTATTCAAAATATATGAAAAGGTTGGATACAGGATGTCTAAGATGCTCATCTCTACCAAAAAAAAAATATTGAAGTGCCCCTCCCTACCCCGATTTATGACCACTTCAACGGATTCTTGTCAGACTTAAATATATCTATATATATATCACAGTTTATAAATATTGATTAATTTATGACATCTTTTTTGGTGGTCTAGGTGGCAGTTTGTACGATGGGGTTGCTGGTTTATGTGTTGTGTTACTCGGAAGTGGAGCTGGTGCCCGTTTTGACATCGGACTAGGTAGTGGTGGTTTATTTCCATTGTTTTGATCATTATTTGTAGGTATATTAGGAAGAGGCCGACCGACAGATCGTGGAGGTCGTTGTTCTCTGGAAGAGGCAGGTTTGCCAATATCGGAATCTGGCAACGGAAGAGGTGGTCTATTTCTACTTGGAGGAGGTGGCGTTCCGGGTTTGAAAGTATCTGACGTCCGTGGAGGTAATATCGGAGATTCTTCTTCTTCTTTTTTGACTTTTTGCAAAAACTGGTCTTTCAGGGATATTCGTTTTTCTGCACTCTAAGAAAAACAAAATTGATACATTGTAATCTTCATTTTAAAATATAAATTAGTTATAATTTTTACGTAAGCTAATTTTGCTATGGCTCAAAATATTTCGTACTTAAGGAATTTATGTCTCCCGCTTTCCATGGCCTTTTACCGTCACTCTATTTAGACCACATTTCATAACCATGCTAACATTCCCCCTCCTACTCCTGTAAACCCTTTCCCAAATTTTTGGGTTATTTATTCCCATAGCTCGTCACCTTTGTCCTTTCCACGGAAATGTAATCCATGAAATTGTTTAATTTTTATCTTTGATTTGTGGTCTATAGTATGTAGATTAAACGACAAGGCTTATGTTGATCGCCCATTGTTATATGTCCTTTTTGTTATTCACAAACAGAAATACCAAGGGGACGACTGAGTACAAAATAAGTTGTTTAACCCCGATCCATGTTTATGTGCCGATCGAAGGTTAGGCAGGTCCTCAGTAGTAGTCTTGGTTTTAATAAAAGTGTTCTCGTGTCATTTAAAGAATTTTTTTTTGTGGTATCATTTACAACTATTTTATGATGCATATATTAACGCCATTATAGACTATTGTAGTTCAGTTTGGGGAAATTTATTACAAAAAGATTCAGATAGAAAAAGAGTAGCAAGAATAATACTGAATAGGATATTTCTGTTCCATCAAATTTTATGTTTTCTGCTTTTAAATGGCGACCCTTTACAGAAAGAGAAACAAAAACAACAATCAATTCTAATGTATAAAATTGTAAATGAACAACCACCTGCTTAATTATCAATGCTTATTAATAATGATGTTCAACACTACAACTTACGATCTGTCTCTACTAACGATCTATTTGTTCCAAGACCAAATACTAATTTGTATAAAAAAATTTTTCATTGATATATAGGTGTCAGTTGTTTTGTTTTTGACGTAAGATTGTTTTATCGTTAATTTTATGCCCACAATCTCGTTTTATTTTTATATATGTTATATTTGAATCACTTGCAACTGTAAGATTTTTATTGGTCATTTTAAATATAAATGGAAGTGAGATAGATAAAATAGCAAGCAATATGCATACAAAAGAAAAAAAGAAAAGAAAGAAAAGCCGAAAAATACCAACTATACAGACAATTCAAAAAATCAAAAAAAGATTGAAGAAATGGTAAAGTCGACAAAAGGGATGATTTTTCTTTCCCTATTGTGAATTTTTCTTTTTTTTTGGATGGCGATGTTCCTTTGGCACCAGCTTACGGTGTTTATATATCACACCAATTTTTGATTTAAGAGAGAATACCAAAATTTTATATGAGGATAATTCATGCAAATGTTTGATTTTTTTTGTGCAATTGGAAGAATTGGAGAAAAGGTTCACAAATTTTTAATCTTAAAAAAGGATATCACAATAATTATTCCTATTGAATATCAAAACATTTCACATAGCAGCTTACAAAGAATAGAATTTGAAAATTTACCAATCGGAATCCCTTGAAATTATTTTTTATAGACTAGCAAAGAAGTATTAGAAAAAATAAATTAAAAATGCTTATTTTTAAGATCTACTTAGACCCTCTATGATACATAATTTCAAAGCTTGTTCGATCCCACCCCAAGATATCGTATCTTATGTCGTAACTACAATACCCTTCCCTTTTCACCAATATGACCTATCGAATTAGACTATTTAACGGATTTGTAATAACATAAGCAACACGACGGGTGCCACATGTGGAGCAGGATCTGCTTACCCTTCCGGAGCACCTGAGATCATCCCCAGTTTTTGGTGGGGTTCGTGTTGCTTAGACTTCAGTTTTCTATGTTGTGTCACCTGTACTATTATTTGTCTGTTTGTCTTTTTTTAATTTTGGCCATGGCGTTGTCAGTTTGTTTTTGATCTATGAGTTTGAATGTCCCTCTGGTATCTTTCGTTTCTCTTCTTTAATAAATAAATATAGTCGATCGTTTCAATAAATTGATAAAACAATATTGTCTTTTCAGATAGATATTTGAACATTGACAAGCAAGAATAAAAAAAAGCGAAATAAGTCATTTATTATGTTAAATACGAACGAAATTATGGCTTTTCATCAATGACATTTTAAGCATTATTTTTTTCTACATAATGACTCATCAGTAACGCTCAAATCAAAACAATTGGAAAACCAAATCAAATAGAAAGTAGAAAATTCCAAAAGGTTGTGTCAAATACGGCTAAGGCAATCTTCACCTGGGGGTAGAAAACCTTAGTGTTTTATAAAACGATAAATAGCAATCATCTATTAATTGACATAGCTTCTTCCTTATTACTTTCACATAAAATATACATAGTGAACCGACAGAAAACATGCAACACATAAAACAGTACATTTTAAAAGTTTGTTAGTGAGGTTGTAAGCACAATTTCCACTAAACTAAAAATGGTTCCAGCTCTTTTCATAATGCTAGCAAGACAAAGGTTTGTTTGACTTGCTTGCTTTGTTTGTATCAATGTTAGCTCAAGCATTGTTATTAAGATTGACATCTGCAAACAATATAAGTAGGCGGAGTTAAACCTGTGTATAGGTAAATGTGATTATTTGATAATGTCCAATCAAATTTAAATATAATGTATACAAGTTTAAATCCGCCTTTTTATGTTGTTTTCAGATGTCAATCTTAATTACAATGCTTGAGCAAACATTGATACAAACAAAGCAAGCAAGCCAAACAAACCTTTGTCTTGCTAGCATTATGAAAAGAGCTGTAATAATTTGCAAGGCATTCCAAAACAATATATAGAGAGGCAACTAAACAAAGTTCTAGCAAATGTGGCCTGTATTGGAAATATGTACTGACTTATAGAAAAATGGATGCTTATAGCCAGTAAATTAGTTTTAAACGAGGAGTGGTCAGTCACAAATTGCAAGTTTACATATATATACAAGGTTTTAGGTTTTATATTTAATTGAATAGAATCAATGCAAATCCTACGTCGGACTTACTGCTGAAAAATAAGAATTACCTCTAAATAATATATCTGTACACTGTATATATGTATATGTTCATGGTCACAGGAAGCACATGAAGCATGCCATGACACATAAATATATAGCAAATGAACTAATACACACAAATAATAGTCTTCAGTATTATTTGTAAAGCAAGTGCTAACTATTTCAATTAGGATGGTTAAATAACACACGGGCTATAATATATTGAAATGCAAATCATATACGTACTCTGCGGATGTTTAAAATCTGTTAGAACAAACAATGAAAATTAAAAGGGCATAACAATATTATTTAGGATATGAGAATCTACGCAAACATGACAATTAGCATTTGAAAAGGAAAGAAAAGCCAGTTTACTTTAAACATATTTTCTCAAAGCGAAAAGGACCAAACACATGAAAACCACTTATGTCTTCTCTACAGTACAATATATATATATATATATATAACAATGAAAAATTAAGTGAGCATGCATTATAACATATGAATAACATTTATATTACAAACCTGAATTGAACATAGAAAAGGTGATTAAAACGAACGATCGATGATGATGACAATGTGTGTTTAACATATATAGATATAAGAAGATGTGGTATGAGTGCCAATGAGACAACTCTCCAAGTCACAATTTGTGAAAGTAAACCATTATAGGTAAAAGTACGGGCTTCAACACAGAGGCTATGTTAATATCATACCACCATGAATTTTTCTGATACCTTTATAAAGTGTAAAACTTGTTTGAAAACTTGAACATTTTCGTCATAGAAAAGATTATATTTTCCCAAAAGCAAAAGTGCTGTATCTAAATTGCAGCTTCCAGGAAGCCAACTTAGACTATTAAATATGATAGTTCTTTTGTTTAAATTAAAGGAAATCAAAAGGCGTTTATCATCTCTACCGATCCATATTGACATTTTGCATCAGATATAATATCAGCCCAATGTAAATCATATATTGTAAATGAATTTTAGTCTGAAACGGTCATTTTGATCATAACAGGATCCGAAAAAGTCTGAATAATAAATTATTCAGGCATGTTGAGCTTTTCAGTCTGTATCCACTGCGGTGTACTGTTCAGACAATTCGCTTGTAATCAATTCAGTACTGTAGTCGGTAACATTTTATTAAAATAAATTACCTCTTTTGGTTCAGATTGTCGTCTCTGTACTTCATATACTGGTGTGTCCTACAAAACAAATATTTTCAATTTCGTAGAGATGTTTTGTGTTAGGGTAAATGATTTGCACTTATACGAATAGATTCTGATAGTGAAATAATAAAAAGCAAACAACATTGATATTTTTTCACCGTGTCCCCTTATATTGTACAACTGGAGATGTTTATGATTGATCTTAATGTTGATTATTGGTTGAGAATTGTATTTATTTTATCTTGAAACTGATTGGTTTGCAAGAACATGCAAGTACTCTCAACTAAAACAAGCACTTTAATAAATACAATGAAAAATAATATTATATTCAAGATATTGTTACATATTGAAGAATGAATTTCTTCGAAATATAAACAAAATATACTTAACAATATCGATTATTCAAACTAAACCAAGTTTTAAGTCGTTTTTATGACCCTCAGAGAATTTATTTTATAAAATCAAGAATAGGAATTCGTACATTTGAAAAAGAGAGGGATTTTCTTTAATACCATATTAATATATAGGATATGGAACCTTTGTTACGAGAATAAAGAAGATGAGATGCAAAAATTCACCTTTTTTGTGTCATATTTTTTTTTTAGCAAAAATCAGCTAGAAAAGACAGGATAAAGATACTAAAGGGATATTTAAACTCATGATATCAAAACAAACTGACAATGCCATGGCAAAACACGAAAAAAGACGAAAAGACAAACAACAGTACACAAAACACAACATGGAAGACTGAGCACCGCAAACCCCACAAAATAAAAAAACGAAATCACAAATCTCTTATTAATTGGTTGATGAGCAATGAAGACAAAAATCATTCACAATTGGTTCTCAATTATAAGAAAGTTTAAATGTAAAGTTACAGAGATATTATATCTAGTAAGATTATCACATACCTCTGAATGTTTAGATATATCTACACAGCACTGTATTTGAAATAAAAAATAAATAAATGTGTACTGCCTATTTATTTACTTTCAAATCAAATGTTAATCAACCAAATCAACAACAAATCGTGATTTATTTTGTTTAATTACAAACTTTTACAAAAATTATGTTTGATAATTAAGATAGTTGTCATTCTGCTGGTCCTGTGTGCTCTCAGTGACAAGTTAAATATGTTTTGTTGTTCTTTGTATTACTACGGTTCTCCTCCTTCTTAACTTGACCAATTGACTTTTAGTTAGCAACTAACAATTGATCTATATTAATTTGATATAAAATGATGACATATATGTTAGATAAGATTTACACGTTCTGTGTATTGGCAAATATCATGTCGTTGCTATGGATTGAGATATTCCTACCAAATCTAACTCTTTTTGTGATGTTAGATTTACAAACGTTTTGAAATTCATTTTTACGTTGAGTCGGAGATCGAAAGACTGAATGAATCAAAGACAAGCATTCAAGATAAAGGAATCTCATCGGGTGCATGGATTTAATCGGTCGTTTACCTGACTTATATGCGAATTTATACGTGAAATTACCAAGATTCACTACCCAAACAGCTTCCCACTACTGTATGATATGTAAAAAATTAAAGATAACATGTTTAAAATTAAGCACGTCAGACGCTCGCTTCGTCTACATAAAACTCATCAGAGGTGATCGATTTAACAGTTGAAAAGCAAAATTAAATACGAAGTTGAAGAGCATCAAAAATCGAAAATTCCGAAAAGTTTGTTCCAAATTCGTCTAAGACAATCCATGCCTGCGTTAGATAAACCTTAGTGTTCTGAATAATTCAATATTTTATAAAAAGTAAACTGTACTTACATCAATACCATCACTATCAGATGCACTCTCCTCATGCATGCTTCCTAAACTGCTATCTCTCCAAGATTGGGTACTCATTGTACTGCCTCTTGATCCTCCACTTGATGAGCCTGAACCGAAAAATTGTTTTTAAAGGTTTATTCAATAAAATGTTTCCTAAAAATTTGTTTCTTTGTTCCCAGGAAAAAGAAATTGTATATTGAAGCTTTTGAAAAGTAGTGGAGCATTTCGGTAAAAAAATCTTTTCAGTTAAAGACAAAACCATACTACATGCTATTAAACAACTGTTTATCTTCAACAAATACTTACTTGAATTACTTATAGTGCTATCCCGTCCTGGGGTGTGTGTCTTACCATCCCTGCCGACAGAAGGATGCTTAAAATATAATAATCTTGAGTTAAAACATTTAAGAAACTGTTTGAACAGAGATATGTCTCGCCTTTTTGTTATTTTGATAGTAAAATGCAAATGTTGAAATTTATATAGCAGTATTTTAACATGTGAGTTGTGCATAATATTCAGTCTATGAACCATGACTAAAGGTACAGGGCCAAAAAATCTCCATGGAAATGAGATATACCAATGCTAAAACATATGCTTACCAAATGTCATTGACCTACCACTACTGGTTCCCCAATAACCTACCTAATCACAAACTAATACATGTAAACTAAGCAAAAGTTTCAAAGTCAATAGACCAGGACTGAGGGGGCGGGGCAAAATAATTACCATGGAAATGAGATATGCCAATGCTAATACAACTGCATACCAAATATCATTTATCTACCACTTGTGGTTCCCCATAAACTGACTTAATCACAAACTAATACATGTAAACTAAGCAAAAGTTTCAAAGTCAATAGACCAGGACTATAATTACCATTGAAATGAGATATACCAATGCTTATATAAACTGCATACCAAATGTCATTGACCTACCACTAGTGGTTCCCCACAAAACTGACCTAATAACAAAGTAAAACATTGTCGACGACGCCGCCGCCGGAAAGAGCATTCCTATGTCTCGCCTTTTGACTCCGTCAAGGCGAAACAAAAACCACATACAACACAAACATCTTGTAACAGACATATTATCTCACAGCATCAATTTTCCCTGATTTATAATAAGTAAAAAAAATCCCCGAAAAATACAGATACTTCTCCATTGTAATTGAATTAATAAAGTAGCTGTAGACATATGTAAGGTTGATATGAGACGGATGTAAAATTTATGAATCATTTTACAACAACTGAATAGAAAAATCAATGTTTCATGAAAATTAATACAATTTCTAATTCAAGACTAAATATTTCTATCTTACCGTGATTTGCATTACATATATTTCCTCTGCTTGAGTTTTTTTTCTTGGAGAAACTTTCTGTTTTAATTTGGTAAAAATACTTTGTCGCTGTTGCAGTTGCTTTTCCGGTTTAAAGACTGTTTGGTACTGGTTTCTGAGTTCTTCAATTGCCAGTTGTCGCTCTTTCAGCGATTTCGATTGGGCAGCCTTATTTCTATCCACCCACGAAGAATACAGCCTTTCAGCTTCGTCTACTGTAAACTCACCATTCTTCACGGCATTGCCAATTTCTATTAGTTCATCATGAGTTGAAGATCCTAATGTTGATGCTGTTTGAATAGCTATTTTAACAGATGGATAACAAAATCAGGCAAACAAAGTATTTATTCTGAAATGTATTACAATTGCACTACAAAGGCTTCCAACAATAACGTTGAAATACTTTATTTGAAAGGCATCTTTCACATACTTATCATATTCAAATTAAATTCAAGAATTTAGCTGTCTTCAAAAGTTAATAAATTAATTAAAACATCATTCTGTTCATGCTTAAACAAATAGTTTTTCACTCAAATCAAGTAATTGGATTTTTTTCAATAATTATTGATCGGGCTAGTAATTTTTGTTAATGATTAGTAAAAACGGGTAATTAGTGGAAATTTCAATTGGGCAGTTTTAATAATTATGAGAAGTCATATTTGTATTTCAAATAATAAGTTATAACAAGTAATATTTTAAGAGATTCCAACTAATATCGTTTTGATAACGTTTAGTTGATTGAAGCAATGTTAATATTCATTTTAAATAATTAAAAGTATTTTCATAAGTATTCATAAGTAATAACGAGTCATATTACAAACAGTCCGAAGTAATAACCCAATTAAATGTGAGCAATTGACAGTAAAAGTGTAGCCTTTTGATTAGGTCCATACCGATGAAAGTATATAGACTTAGGAAGCAATCCGAAATACATGTTGCTTTCCGTGCCAGTACTCTTTAAGTGCATTTGTCTCTTCTAAATATGCATGTGAAAATGAAAATGTGCAAGTCTTTCGTTCACCTAAGCATTGTTAAAAATTTCTAGGTCAAATCTTAATGATTTCCTGCCATTCTTTGATGCAGTTAACCGAAATCAAACGACAACTTGATTCTGTTTGGCTGAACTTCCCAATCAACCTCAAATAAAATACGAAATATTTATAGTTTTGTGTAGCGATATAAAGCCATATAGTCAATACCTATCTATTTCAAGTAAGACATAGACAAAAAATGTTTTTATGATAAAAATATGATTAACATATAGCTGCTTTCCAATAATTTTAAATTCTAATAATCCAAAATAAATACAAGTAATCATTTAATTTATTCAATGTAATTACTAAGTAGTCGAAAGAAATAAAAAATGTGTACTTTATGTACTTCCAAGTCATATTTTTTTGGAAATTGCAAGTAATCTAAAACTTGTGAACATCACTGACACCTACATGTAATTAAGGTAGGAAGTTAGTTTTCAATGTTAATTGCCTACACGTGTGTACAACTACTTATTGTATGTGTCCTGACATCAATACTCTCAATAGATGTTCGTTCACCTGAAAACCCACCTGATCAAAGTACTCCATTACCTAGTTTCTCTATGTTTGAATTCAGGTTTGTTTAGTTGCAATCTATTTTATAAACATAAATGCTTGATTGTACTTTTGAATTGAACATACATTTTCAATTTTGATTAATAAAATAAGTCATCTTAAAAACACATTCATGATCACAATAATCTCGTATGTTCCAGTGTTACAATGTGTATTTATTCAATACAGTACATATTTTCTAACTCTAACAATTCATTTAGACCGCAAGGCAATGAAATAGAAAGAAAACAATATTTGTCATTAGAAAGGGTTCTTAAATAACGAAAAGTGTAATTTTGGCTTTACCATGTGAATACATAATAGTGATTCCTCGCTCATTCGATGAGGGTAAATCCAGGAAAGGCCTTTGGATGCATGAAATTTTAAAAGTTATTTTCAAATACTAGTCAATACCACTGCTGGTTGGTGGTCTAGTAGTTCTCGATTGGATCAGCATGTCAGTAGTCAGTGATTAGGTACTGACATGATTTATAACATACTATTCTAAAATTTCTCGTTGACGAATTACGAAAACAATTAAAGAAACTAACTTTCCAATTCCATCAAGCCAAGTTGATCTTAGATGAATTTAGCCATACTTTTTAGGTCCCGTTTGTTCATATCGCTCCGAACGTGTCCACGCATTTATACATCTCTAGCTTTCAAATGTTTTGGTTTTAGTGTTCTTGATTAATGTAAACCCAGAAAGCGCTTCGGACGCACAAAAGGAGAAGATATGATGATAAGATTCTTTTTACCCTTGAATTCGAAAATCCAAAAGAATTATAAATCAACCAGATACTACCCTTAAGCTGCTCATATAACTTTAGACTGTCGGACATCAGTATTTATATTTTTGAATTATGGCTTTTATATTGCGGCTTCAAACTTTTTACATTTAGTGCAAAACATCAAAACTGACAACATAGCCTCATTTTGAAATGAGCGACAGCTTGACCCAAAACGATACTATACTACAAATTTTATTTGACATATTTACAAAATATGTGCGAAATATCTTCCTGGGTCAAGCTGTTGCTCATACATATTTTTTGTCCAAAAACTTTGCGTGTAATGGCAGTTTTTAGTCAAATACGTAAATTTCGTTATGTTTCTGACGTCATTGTGACATCGCAAGGGACCTTTTTGCACTAAAGTATTCAGATTATACATGTTACATTATCGAGTTTGTTTATCAATAAAATAAACATATATTAAAAGGTTTAAAATTTAGCTTTTTTGCAATTTCAGGGACCAAATAATAGCTCTTATCATACCGCCTCCTTTATGAGGTATTGATTTTTTTAAATATCCCTGTTTTGTCTTCACTTTTCTCTGTTTGGCTACATCGGAAAAGTCATTTCTCTCTAATATTCTGAAGTATGGAGACCCCTGATAAATTTTCATGGAAATTATTATAAGATGATGAAACCGAGCATGCAAACATGGCCCCAACAAAATAACCGCGACGAAAGCAATTTCTACTGAAGGGTGAGCAGTTTCTGTATCATGCTAGACATTAGCATGTTTCATTAGAAAGTCATGCTTGGGACGGAAGGAAAGGAGGAAGGTCAGTTGTCTTTCAGAAAACTAAAGACCTCAACCTTGTGGCCAATACTAGTATGCTCCTGTTTTTGAGAAGTTTTTGTATAATAAAGAAAACAATATTTTTGAAACTCTCTGAAATATATGGACAGGACAAATTTTCTATGATTTGATTCTGAGAGGGCAAATGTGTTTGACATTACATGCATTGGTAAAAACATTTAGGGTACCAACTAACTTGCAACAGATGCCCAAATCGACAATAATGAAAAATATTTCTTATACAAACAGATAAAACAAAAAAGGACCATAAGTAAAGCCAAACTCGGACAAGGGATCAGAGGTATGCATGAGAAAGATACATTCTTTAATTTAAAGATTTCAAACATTTTCAATACATTGCATCACTATCTGACATTATAAGATTACAAATCACTTGCCATGGTATTCTATATTTGGCATGTCATTTAGGAAAAGAAGTATACAATGAGACACCATAAAGCAACGAGTTACTTATACTGCAAACAGCTATCAATCCAAGTGGAAATGAAATGTGAATGATATAAATTCATATTATAAGTAGTAAAATGACCATGTAAAGTTGTAGTCACTATTAGTAAACTCCAAGTAATTACCTAAGCTAAATCAAGTTAAATGATCTAGTAATCATTAAAAACCAAACGAAGTAATAAGGAATTTTTTTTTGTAGTAATCAAAAGTTGTATCAGTCACTTGAAAACTTGCATGTTAAGGACAAGTAAGTCATTGTTAGAATATTTCAAAGTAATACATTTACTAAATATGTTTTTTGAATGCATTCGAGGTCGATCCAGTCTGTAGTCGTAATTTCAGTAGCTATTCGTTTTAACCCATATTTTAAAACTGGTTTGACATTTGCTAGTTCAATCTTACAATACGGTATAATTTCAGATCAGACGACTATACTGGTATTTAAAGATATAAGACCGCAAAATATCACACTAGTGAGTTGAGACACCGACATGTCGAATCGATGAATTTGTGATAGTGACCGTTTGAATGTCCGTTAGGTATCCTTCGCCTCTCTTTCCTATATGAGTTCTGCTTCATATGATAAAATGGAGAATGGAAATGGGGAATGCGTCAAAGAGACAACAACCTAACCAAATAGCATACAACAGCCAAAGGCCACAAATGAGTCTTCAACACAGCGAAAAAATCCCGCACCCGGAAGCTGGCTTCAGCTGGCCACTAAACAAAAATTTGTACTAGTTCAGTGAAAATGGACGTCACACTAAACTCCGAGACATATAAATGAACTAAAATTTAAAAAAACGTACAAGACTAACAAAGGCCAGAGTTTGGACAGGCGCAAAAATGCGGCTGGGTTAAACATGTTTTGTGAGATCTCAACCCTCCTCCTATACCTCTGGCCAATGTAGAATAAACAAACACACAGTAATACGCACAGTAAAGCTCAGTTTAAAAGAAGTCCGAGTCCAATGTCAGAATAGGTAACAGAAGAAACTCAGCAAAATGACAATGATACATAAATTAACAATGGACTACTAGCTGTTACTGACATGCCAGCTCCAGACCTCAATTAAACTGATTGAAAGATTATGTCTTCATCATTTGAAAATTAAGCACAATCCCTCCCATTAGAGGTTTAGTATCATTCCATCATAAATTATATGAGAAGAACATAACCCGTATCATGCCAATAACTGGTTTTAGAAAAAATGTGTTTATTTCCGATGAGTGAATCAATATTAATTCCAAAATATGCAATCTTCAATGACCTGACAACAGTATAGTAACTATATCACTTCTGAATAAGTCTTTTTAAAGGTTTGGTTAGCTATTGATGTTAATGACGACATTTTTGTGCTTTGTATAGAATATTACCATAAAAGAGTATTAAAACAAATCGGTCAGTAGCAGTACACAATAAGTACCCATTGGTATGCTGAAATATCCATCCTCCAAATTAACAAATATGTTGTCGATCAAAAAGTCCAGAATTTTGATGAATTCGTCTTCTGTGTATTTGTTGTGGGAATCAGTGTGAATCTTCACAAAGTAGTTTTTTTCATGACCCTAATCAAGAAATTCGTATCTACGATTCTCAATTTTGTCTCGCTTGCGACGAAAGTCGCAAATGCGATACATAATGTGAAGGCGGCACCGTCGACAACGTAAACTTTGTGGATAAAGCTTTATATTTCCAAAGATAGAAGGTATGGATTAATCATATATGCAGACGTTTAGAGATGCCTTATGTTACGAAATTTCGGGATGTCACATGTCTACTGTCATTGACCTCATTTCCATGGTTTAGTAACTGCTTGAAAAAAATGTAGATTTTTTTGTAAAGTGAAATACTCACTTATTATGAATAAAAGGATAATTATATTTGGTATACCGGTATGGGACCCTTGCAAGGTCTACATACCCGTCGATAGGTCAACTATATATCGTCTACGGAAAGATTTGAAAGTGTACATATCCGGTTGGAAGGTTTCATCTGACCTTAACTTCATTGTGATGGTTCATTGGTCACTGTTTTTTAATTTTCATTTTATCTTTTTGTCAGTTATTCTAAGCAATGAGGTCACTCTATTTGATGCATGGAATGATTGTAAGGTGTACATGTCAGTCTGGCAGGTTCCATTTAACCTTGGCCTCATTTTTAAGGTTCATTGGTCAGAAACCCATGTTCTCATTGACCATCGTAAATTTTGAATGAGCTTTTGAAAAATTGGACCTTTTAGCCGACTTTGTATGTCAAAAATTTTGTCCGAGGAAGATATTGAAATCAAATTCACCGCCTGTAAATATGGAACTATTGCTATCACAAGATAATATTTGCAGAGAAAATGAACAATGTAAGATCAACGTTCACCCCTCAGGATCAGTTATGTTTCTGAGAATAAACTTAAATTGTCCATTTCAATACAGCAAGGATTGGTTTGTTATTTTTGCTCTTTTTTGGAAACGCAAGATTTTCCAGTATTTTCTTTGAGGAAATGATTTTAAAACTAGCTGACTTCGAAGTCTATAATACTTCTTAGAAATATGAATTTTTACCTTTTAACATGTTTATAATGAAATGAGTTAGTTATCAACTATTTGGCGCGTAAAATGTGGATGAAATGGATATTTGGGGCAAAACGGGTTCCATTCTATTTTCTATTTGAGATGAATGCTTTGGAAATTTTAGAAATCAAACAATTATGTCATTGGACACCTTTTTATCAGTAAGTTATTAAATTGGTTTCAGGGAGTGAAAACATGTCTTTTTCGTCGAATTCGACTTACAAATATAAAATCAACACGAGTTGAATTAATGTATACTTAGAATAATAAAACACTGTAGGCAATTGTCATTCTTCAACATAAGCAATAAGACGAGCATAGAATTTCTTCCTGTCCGATTTGACCCATATGCTGCACACATATTGGCTTTAGACATGTTTGTCGGCGGCATTATCAGACACTTATTTTGAAACTATACCCATGGATGAATTAGACCAAGTTTGGTTCAACTGTTTAAGTGGGATCATGTTTAAACATGATTTATAACAAACTTTTCTAAATTTGTCCGTTTATAGATTTTGAAATTATAAAGAAACTAAGGTTTCAACTCCCTCAGGCAAAGTTGACCTTAGATGAATTTGGCTATTTGTTTTAGGTATTTTTGTCGTATAGCTCTTCAACTGTTTCGGTACTTATACATCCCTCGGATTTCAAATGTTTGGCATTGAACGTTCCTTATGAAGGTAATCCAGAAAAGCGCTTCGGACGCATGGAATTATTAAACGTGTTGTTTCCAATTTTTTAAAGATGTGTTCAATTGTATCCATACAAATGTGACAGTAAAAATTTCGGTTGAACTTTTAACCTACCATGTGAAAAATATGAACTAATGAGGAAGATACTAGAGGGATATTCAAACTCACAAGTCGACGACAAACCTACAATGCCATTGTAAAAAACCCAAACCCAAGCCAATACAACGAAAAAAAAACCCAACATTAAACAAAACAAAACAAAAGACTTAGCAACACAAACCCCACCTGTGTCACCCGTCGTGTTACCCATTTAAGTACAAAATAGGTGAAAATTCTAATTCAGTAATGTTACATACGAGGAAAAGAGGATGGGACTATGGTACCGATAATTAAAACATATCTGTCATCATCTGTTAAACAGATATTCCATAACGGTCAAACTTGTGATGATATCCGTAAAATTTTCGAAGAGATAACTTCAACTTCATCACTTACGCACTTGGTTTAATAGCTTTATTGTACTCAGTAACCCTCTCTCATATCTTTTGTCGTAAAGTTTTGTTCTCGACAGACCCTCATTGTCAATTTCTAGATGAAAGTCAAGACATCAGGCACACTTAACTGTATATGTATGGTTTATTCAATAAAGCATGAATCCTACATTAAGTCCGACATATAATAATGCTTCCGTCAAAAGTCAGGAACCTAGTCTGTTGTTGTCTTCGTTGATATCTTATCTTGTCCATTTAAGAAATGTGTGTTAATGGCATTGTGATCTTAAAAACCATCTGGTTGTCCGATCAAGAACCGCGTAGATTCGGGAGGCCCCTCATGGGGGTGTCCAAGTAATCACATAATCACAAATTTTTTGCCAATATAATCACATAATCATTATTTTTTTTTTTAAACAAGATAATCAAATAATCAAAAATACAGTCCTTGATTATCAAATAATCAAATAATCATGAAATATTTGGTCTCGTAATCAAATAATCACTATAAAAACGTCCAAGTAATCACATAATCAAAAACCCTATCAGAAGGCTCATTCGGAAAAGGGGGGGGGGTGGTATTTGGAACTTGAAATACAGTAGAGAAACTGTTGTTAAATTTGTATTTTGATCTAAAGTTGTCTTTTTGTTTTATTGTGATGTTTGGTTAATACATCACTGATACATACCCTACATGGTTGATACTTTAAAACTATTCGTAAAAGTATTATTTTATTTGCAAAGCAACACCAAGGTACTCACGCTTAGAACTTATACCCATGAATTCGTCTGGTTTCATTCCACCATATTTTTCTTCTTCTTCTGTTGGTTCAGGAGGGAGAGGAACAGATCGTATTGGTCTTGGCAAAGTCACTGGAATAATTAAGACATATTACACAGTTACACATTTACACATTACGCATTTGAAGATCAATTAACATTTGTTTAGAATAATGGTCTTACAGAAAAATTTCGACTTATTATTTGGTGTATTGCATTTTAAAGTCATTAGCTTTTGTTTTAACTTTACAGTTTCTTCAGTTTCTTCATTGCTCGAAATTTGATATTCGGCTAAGTAGATATTAAGGATAAGAGAATGTACATCTGTAAATTTTTATGAATTTAGTGATGTCTTACTTATAGTTAGAAAATAGACATTCAGCGTTGAATAACATTAGACAGTGTCACAAACTGTTCAATAATTACATGAACATGGATTTTCTACCGAAGGAATGGATTACCTTAGCTGTATTATGCAAGACCTTTTGGAATTTTGGGTCCTCAATGCTCTTTAACTTCGTACTTTATTTTGTCATTTTAACTTTTTTAATTCGAGCGTCATTGGTGAGTCTTTTGTAAACGAGACGTGCGTCTGGCGAACTATAATGAGTATATATATGGCCCGCGGAAAATCATAGTTTGTTTAATTAACCTGTTTCACTAATGATATGGTCATAATCATAAATTAACCGTTTACAAAACTTAGATTTTTTCGAAATACTAAGGATTTTCTACCCAAGGAATAGATTACCTTAGCTTTATTTGGCAAAACCTTTCGGAATATTGGGTCGTCAATGCTCTTCAACTTCGTACTTTATTTGGTCTTTTTTTTAATTTTTTTGATTCGAGCGTCACTGATGAGTCTTTTGTAGAGTTGAATAATGAAATAACACTACAGTTGAATTACATTTTCAGCTACTAATTCCAGTATTTTGGTTTAAATATCGAGTTAGTATTCGCGTTTCATTAATACATGTCTGTGTAATCATGGGAACACGCAAACAAAACAGAATCCATCAAGAGTTTTGCAATAATACCACATCTTCTTATTTTTATATCAACTAAACAGTTCGGTAAAAATTAAATGAGTAGTTTAACAATGTGTGTAAATGTTTTGATAATCTCTTAATACATAATATGTTGAACACATTGTTAACTTATCTGTGTTGTTTGAATTTCCAATTATAAACCACTACAAAATCGATAATTATTCATCAAATTCATGTCAAGTTAACTTGAAAACGGAAAAAACTTACAGGATTTTTCCTCTAATTGAATTTTTTCTTGTGTTGGTATGTTTTTAAAACTTTTGCTTCTAGAGTTATCTACAATAGATACATAAAATATTCGAGAGATAATCATTGTTACGTTGAAAAATGTGTCTTCAAATTTTTAATTGAATATTACCGTTTCGCTTGTAACAAATAAATAAGTACATTTTTTCAATTGAAACTTTCATAATTCAGACAAATTCGTTAGATAAAATCAGCTGTTTATGAAAAAATATTAGCTTTAAATTTCGGTTTAATTATAAGAAATTGGAACTTCATATTACTATATTACACTATTTTCTTTCAAATTAGTTAACTGTCACCATACAGTATTTGGTGAATACCACTGCCTGTTAAGTGTTCATTACAAAACAAAGGGTTTTTCAAGTGTGATTTGTTTTGCCTCCCTTTTATATGTATGAGGTATATTCACAGGGATATGGGCTCATATTTCCTGTCATTTGTTTTATATCTCCTGAGCCGTTTGACGAATATAAGTACATATCCCCTGTGAAGCCTTACAAACAAATATATTATACTGGAGTGTCCTGATTGCAATAAAAATTACCATCCTGGTCTCCGTTTTTGGTCACATTTTGGGCCCATATACCCTGTAAAGGTAACCTATCAAATTGTTGGATTAGCCGGAATATTTAACTCCAGTATAATATTCTATTATTGCCTCCCTACTTTATTCTTTGTCTCCATATTGTATGTTTTTGTCTCCGCATTATATCGTATTGGCTCCCTTTGATGTCTTATCATTTTTTTATTGTTCATTTCGTTTTTATTACAGAAAATTTTATGAAGTTTCAAAAACCTTCATTATTAAAGAAACATAATTCATGCTTTTAGAAATGTTTCTTAACATGATAACAATATTTCCTCTTTACCTATTGCCTGATTCCTAGCTCTTTCTAGCTCTTCTTGGTTAGAATAGTTGTTATCCATAGCCAAATGGATATAATCAACCATAGTTTGAGTTTCCTGAAAGATAGTGATATCAACATTTTGGCCATGGTTGACTCATGGTTATAATATTCAAAAACTAAAAAGTACCACACATTCATGATTCCCTGTTTAAATAAATATATATGTATGCTTTATGTACACATCTCCTGATGATTGTAGATTTTTTGTTTTCGCAAATGCGTATTTTATAAAGTGATATATGTAATTTTATTTCTTTTACAGATTTTGTAAAATTTCATTTCAACGAAAATCTTTATAGTTTCATGAACACACAGGACATTCAATCGTATATTCAAATTAAAGTTGAATCCGCTTCGAACAATATGTTTACGAATTGTGTTTTCCATCAACGACTGCATACAGCGTAAACTTCAAATCAATGACAAACTTACAAAATGTGTTCTCATATGTTCAGCTAGGTCTACGTGACCATTCAATTCCGCAAGATCAGCCGGGTCGTGACCGTCTTTATTTTCTATCTGAAAGGCGGCACTAGATCCAGGGGTATCTAAGATATTGCATGTCAAATCCTCTAAGCCATGTTTGGCAGCAAAATGTAGTAATGTTGGTATTTCCTGGTCACTTTCGATTACTGTTGATAGTATAAATAATACCTCATGTAAATAAATAAACATTATGTCATAGTGATAACAAGCTGAAAAGATACGTTATCAAGATATACTGGTATGTTCCACTCAAAAGGTTGAAATTCCGACGTAGAAAGTCAAATGCGGTGTGTTTCTTGAATAACTTTATTTTGACAATGCAATATGTTTAAAAGTTTTTAAACAGATAACATACAATGTCTAAATTCTAAAATCTATGAAATGTGAACAGCCTTAGATACATGTCAACAGAACACTAAATGAGAAAATTCAAGTGTACAAAAAAAAAAACATTTAAAAAAAACAAAGAAGTTGAAACTTGAAAAATATGAGCATGAAGTGCAGAAAAAATCCTAAAACGAATCATAAGTCATTATTTATTGAAACTACAATAGCGAAATCATAACAGATTTAATTGAAAAAAAGATACACAAACAACATATAAAAATAGATTTATAAACAATAAGGCAACGAAAGAAAATACACTTATAAAAGAACAGGACTCAAAAATATATAAAAAGAACTGGTACACGTAAATAAATCAGCATCTTCATACAATTACACAAAAACCAAATCAGCAAATAATAATGTCAAAAACAAAACTACTCGAATAACCAGGGAAATATAACAGGTATAACAGGTATGAAACAAGGTGAAAATCAAAAAAAAAAAAAAAAGAACACACAACAAACGTACGTGTATAGTAGTAACAACAAAGAAAGCAATTTAGACACACAACAAAGAAGACAATAAGGGTGAGCAAATAATAATAATTAACATAGTAATAATTTTATTAAAACAAATATATAGGAGAGGAAGATCAAGGACAAGTGTACAAAGAGCAAAACAATAATTAAAAAAAAACGATGTCCAAGCAAATAAGAAAAATATCATATATATACAAAAACATAAAAAAGAAATAAATGTAAACAAGAAAGGTAAGCACAAAAAAACCAATAACACATATTAATGTGACGAAATAGGTATACAATCCCCTCCCAAAAAAACCAAACTTGTTCAGCAACAACAAAGAATAAAATAACATTAAGCTACTTAAAACCTCAACAAGATTAACAATGAAATAGGTGTTAGATTAGTATATCAGTTCTCAAGAAGACGATATAAATACTTGTTCCAAAGGTCCAAAAGAGAGGCGAAAGATACCAAAGGGACATTCAAACTCATAATTTGAAAACAAACTGACAACGGCATGGCTAAAAAAGAAAAAGACAAACAGACAAACAACAGTACACAAAACACAACATAGAAAAATAAAGAGTAAGCAACACGAACACCACCAAAAACTGGGGGTTATCTCAGGTGCTCCAGAAGGGCAAGCAGATCCTGCTCCACATGTGACACCCGTCGTGTTGCTCATGTTAGTACAAACTCAGTAATAAGTCTAATTTGGTAGGTCACATTCTAGGAAAAGGGGACGAGATTGTAGTTACGACAATTGGAACATATCCGCTGTCATCTGTGAAACGGATATTCCATAACGGTCAACCAACTCTTGATTGCGTCGTTAAAATTTACGAAGGGATGTTTTAAGCTTCCCAACTTGGAACTCTTCGTTTAATTCCTTCCTGTGAGCAGCAACCCTCTATCAAGGAAATCATGATAGGAAATAAAATTTCTGAAATATCGTATCAACTGGGAGATATATACTCCATATGCAGGCGCTGCTGGAATGTCGCTACATAGAAATGGAAAGTTCACAATTGGGAAGCTGACATCATCTCTTTTGTCGAGTTTTGTTTTCAACTGACCCTCATTGTCAATTTCTAGATGTAAGTCAAGATATGAGGCAGACTTAACTGTATCTGTTGCATCCTTTATCGCAAGTTCGATGGGATAAGTGCGTTCAACATAGTCACCAAATTTTGAATTATTTAGTGAGAGAACATCATCTATTTAGCAAAAAGTAAAGTTAAAGGATGCTGCTAACTTCTTTTCTTTCTTCCTAAGAAGTTCCTGTATGAAGTCAGCTTCAAATGAATAAAGAATGAAGAAATTAAGCATCTTGATAATGTCAGTTTCAGTGAATTTTTTATTTGAATGAGAGTGATTTTTTACGAAGTACGATTGTGAAACTAAATACCTGCTGTCAACATTTTAATATGGACAACAAATGGGTTTTAAATAGAGGACAGTTCTCAAAATGACATTTCTGTATATTCTACTATTGCTCTTATGCAAAACTAAGCCACCAGCAACTGGATACACTATGAGCTGATGAGTTAACAAGTAAATACCAGCAGCTCATCAGTTGCATCCAGTTTATACTAACTTTTTAAAACACTTTAAACCGAAACTTATATTTAAAGGGGCATTATGTACGATTCAGGCAAACCATTAAACTATTATTCCTTTTTGTTTCAAACATTAACAAAAGCGGAATATTGATATAATATTTCGGTATTAGCAGTCAGTTTGGTTACATTTTGTCAAATGTAACCCCAAAACATTGCTGATGTATTTATACTATTGGCTTACAGTTCAAAACTTCAACCTCATTTCAATTCATATTCATGCGACCTTTGTTGGAAATTGGATACACATGTGAGCATGTACAGTGATTGGAATGAAAATCAGTTGAAAAATCGAAACTAAGGGAGACAGCAGCAGGAAGACCGATTTTGTTGATTGATTCGAAAAACTGAAAAACCAGTCATATACAGGTTATGACTAAGTGATTAACATTTAATTTATAAGTTTTTATATATGAAATGAGATCAAACAGAACTAACATAAAGAAAATCGACCTTATATTGTTGCATGTGCTTACCTATACAAAAATAAGAAGATGTATGATTGCCAATGAGACATTTCTCCACCAGTGATCAAATAACGTAGAAGTTAGCAACTGTCTATTACCTGTCTATTTGCATTTAATCTTTACCTGCCTGTTAATATTTATAACTATAATGGGGTCGCATGCCTCTCTTTTGTCGATTGAGTCACACGAAACGTAGATACTTATAACGATTCCAGACAGTGTATATTGTTTTCTATGGAACCTGAGTTACGTTGTAGTAAATACTAAATCAATTTTGAGAGTTTGAATACATTCGGTGAGCACAAATATGGTAGCAAATGCCCTTTGAAAAAATAGAGTACGACAACTTTAATTTGATAGAGTAATTTTCGCTTTCCATTTTTAAATAACAAAACAAGAAAAATAGAAAATTTCTCAAATTCCATAATCTTTTTATACATAAATCTATTTTTTTCAAATTTATACCACATCACTCATTTAACATAACATATAATATTAAATTTACCATATGAAAGCCAGGTTGTACAAATTTACAATGAAAAAAAAGATTGAGAGACACTAGTTTTCACATAAGGATGAATAAACATAATGTCATCTTTAATTTATGTTTGATGAGGTATGTATACTTTCATTAAAAAACAGCCTGATAAACATGAAGAAATCCTTTTTCATATGATTTAATATAGCAAAGACTTAACCAGTCATTCTGCTTACTTTTTGAGTTCATCTCAATATATTCGACGGGCGAAGCACTTGAGTCGACTCACCCTTTTTTTTATCTATCATATTCACGTAGCTCAATCCTGAGTTTTTTGTATGATGTTTTGTGAACTATTTTTCACTTTTCGTCGATTTGCTTTTGGTGTTGGTTTTGTCTTTTCTTCATATTAATGATTTTTTAAATATCATAATCACGTAGCTCAATCCTGAGTATTTTGTGTGATTTTTTTGTGAACTGTGTTTGATTTTTCTTATATTATCTTTCGGTAATGGTTTTGTCTTATCTTCAACTTGATTTCTAATCGCAACTTTGGTATCATCTATTCATAGTTTATTTTGTTTGTTTGTATTCTGGAATATAATATTTCCAAATGTTGTCAAAGGGTCAATAAATCAACTTCTTATATAACTAAACATAGTAATTAGATACACAAAAACTCACGTTCTTGAAAGGGCATGTCCTGAGCCTGCACTTTCATCAGTTCAGCCAAGGTTCCATCGCTAGGAATACTCTTGTCGAATAGATCTAACAATTTACTATCAAGTACTTGTTTTTCATTAGCATCCACGCCTAATACTTGTGATAAAAAGTCTAAACATTCGTATGCAGCTAGATTAGGCTTCACAATTTTCAGAACACAATCCGCTGTTTTTTCACTATCACATAATAACGATATCCGTACGTCTCCGGATTTTGGTAATGCTGAAAAAAGACTTTAATTGTGATTTGTGTTATTTAAGTTATCGTCACTTCTTGTCTAGATTCGGGGAGATTTAGACAATTGTAAAGTGTTGAAGGCCGTATCGTCGCGATATAGCCATTTTGAGCTGAGGTGGCGTAAAACAACCACCAATCAATCAATCAATCTAACAATTGAAAGCCGTATGTTGAATAAGATCGCTTGTTTTCTCTTTTGAATTCTTTCACATTTTGTAATTCTTATGCCTTTTGATAGCTTACTATACCATATATGAATAACTCATTATTGAAGGCCATTCATTGTCTTTAGCAGATAGTCGTCTCATTGGCAATCATACCACATCTGCTTATAATTAAAGTTACCGAAAGCAAGCTCAAATTATTTAAGGACGTTAAGTAAATATTAATTTATTCATTTATATATCTTTGTTATTATCATTCATTTAATTTTCAGGTATTACTAGTACTACGTTTGTATATGTTCCAACGTCACTTTATCGGCGAATAACATTCCATAAGATGGTCGGGCAGACCGAAACGTCCTGGAAGTAGGAACAAGGTTTTATACTCGAATTTAAGAGAGGAATCCACTACTGCCACTTCTTCCTAAAACACCAGTACATAACGCCTAAAAAAGGGGTTCAATTTAAGGGACATTATTCAATATTTCTTAATTAAAATTATTATCATGATTATTCCATGTTAGTATATTATTTTAGGTTTTATTTGTTAATTTTAAATATTAAATGTTGAATAAAACAACGTATCACTTAAACAAATGTAGAAAATTATACACACCGTGGAATGCGTCACCTGTTATCTAATTAAGAAATAACTAAAATGTATATATTCATGGAGCGAAACATCACGTGCAACCCGAAAAAAAAGGTTATTTTTTAAAATTGATATGGACTACCCTTAAAGTCATGTGCTTTAAGATGTAAATTCCTTGAATAAAACAATGACTTCTTTTATTTTGGTTAATATGTGATTTAATTGGTTTTTGAAAAAAATGATATTCACCTTGGTGGTTGTCCTCCGTGGATATTTTTTTTAATGTAAATTTGTGGTTTAATTGACTTTTTACACGAAAATGAATTCCTGTGACAAATCTTTGAGGGATACATATGAAATGAAATGAAACGAAACGTAGCGAAATGTAATGAAATAAAATGATTTTCTTGGTTATTACATATATGCATTACACGACCCTTTTCGTAAATCAGCTGTGATGGAATTTAGTAACGAATTTGGCATTGTGTACAAATGTGAAAGATTCATTTTAATAAATACATCCGTCTTTTTTCTGCAGGAAATTTTCTGATATCTTTTTTCATGTTTTTGTTTAAACATAGATTTAATGTCGAGATGTATATCATTTTAATTTAAAACCGGTGTTGGTGATATTGAGATAACATATGATGCACTTGATTGTTCAAATAAAACAATGTACTTACATGGAACGCGGAAAAGATATGTAGTTTCATTGATTGATTCTTTTGCATCAACTATCTTATCAAATTCGTTGAACATGACCTGAACAGTACCATTTGGTGGTTTCTGGAATATAATCGCAACATGCTCGTTTGCCTGCAACAAAAACAGATTTAGCTAAAGATACAATCATTATGTTCCAACGGCTCCTTCTTATGTAGTGCATATTTCTCAGTTGATTAAAACTCGTGTTTTGTAGTGCTGTTTTAGAATTCAATGACCATACAATATCGATTTATAAAACTTGAACAGGATGCATATTATAATCAAATGGATCAACACATCTTTTTTCTAAATCTTGACGAATACACAATTGTTATAGAAATATGACCCATCTTAAGTAATGTAATAAAGAATAGCCTTTCCCAATCAGAGTTTAAAGTAATATCATTTATCAAGAGTTAGTTTGGTAAAAGCCATATTTGGTCCCGAAATTAAAGTCCGTTCTTTTAAGATAAAAGAGATTCAAGTTGATTAATAGACATATGTATGAAAGTGAAATAGAACTAAACACTAAACAAATAGAGTCCATTTTTCTCTTTTCTTTCTATTTTATCACACGATTATTCTCTATTCTTGATTAGACGGCGTAAAGTAAACATCCATCAACCAATAATCATTTTCCCCTTCTCTCTATACTTTATTTCTTTGATCCATTATTCTCCAATCTGTAAACCCAATCCAGACCCTCATAATATGCACATGATCGTTTTCTTAATTGTTGTTAATTCATGCACACGAAAGACAAACTTTGAAGCCTTGTACTTCACAGTATTTACTTACATTACAAAAAGGAAGTATCACTTTAAATCAACTAGATTTGAATCGTAGACCAATTGAGAAAAGAGACATTGGTTTGATATATTTGAAACACCATTCCGGAAATAACAATATATCAAGGATAAAGCGCATTTATGGTCTTAATCCTTACAATTATTAGAAGGTCTTCCACAATTAACCGGACTTATTAATTTGACAAGATCAAGTCTGCAGACCAAGAACTAATGTTTATTTAAAGGAGCACTGTTTGAAACGAGGAAAACGAAATTACACTGCAAACTAAACAATTTTTTCGGCGGAAATAACTGATGAAATAAAACAGAAAGCTATTATTCAGATTAAATCTTTACACAATTACACGGAAATCACAAAATGAATCAATTGTGTATGTTGGACTTTGGACTTTCGTCTCATTACAGGAGCCCTTTTTTGAGACTTATGTTGGCAATCTAGCTAGATGTCTGACACTTTTTGACTTGTTGGACGGTCATTTATATTTTTCCGTAATGATCAAAGGAGATTAATGGTTTGATAGAATAATCGAATAGTTACATTAAACATTACTCCTTTTTTGCAACATATCCGCATTTTGACAATTTTTGTCCCATCGACGGTGCTCGAAACCAAATTAATGAAATTCCACAACATAATAGAAACGTTTAACAGCTGTAATAATCGAAAAAGAAAACAAGTGTTACCATAACCCTAAGAAGGAATAAGAGCTACATGTACGCATGAAGTAGATAAATTCCCTAATTACTGAGGATTTTCTATAACAGGAATAGATTACCTTAGCTGTATTTGGCAAAGCCTTTTGGAATTTAAGATCCTCAATGCTCTTCAACTTCGTAATTTATATTGCCCTTTTAACTTTTTTGATACGCGCGTCTGGCGTACAATATTTGAAGCTGGTATCTATGATGAGTTTATACACAACCACTGAGTCGAAGCCATTGCTTGGAGGTTTACTCCCCGAGGTTATTACCAGCCCAGTAGTCAGCACTTCTATGTTGACATGAGTAATCATTGATATGATCATAATTATGAATTGAAAAAGAGGGACGAAAAATACCAGAGGGACATTCAAACTCATAGATCGAAAACAAACTGACAACGCCATGGCCAAAAATAAAAAGACAAACAGACAAATAATAGCACAGATGACACAACATAGAAAACTAAAGTTTGAGCAACACGAACCCCACCAACAACTGGGGGTGATCTCAGGTGCTCCGGGAGGGTAAGTAGATCCTGCTCCACATGTGGCACCCGTTGTGTTGCTTATGTTATTACAAATCCGGTAAATAGTCTAATTCGGTAGGTCACATTCGTGAAAAAGGAAGGGTATTGTAGTTACGACATAAGGAACATATCCGATATCATCTGTGAAACGGTTATTCCATAACGGTCAACCAACTCGTGATGGCGTCCGTACAATTTACGAAGGGATGATTTCAACTTCACCATTTGGAACTCTTGTGTGTAACTGTGTAACTTTGAATTTTTCAAAAAACTGAGGATTTTCTACCTAAGGTATAGATTACCTTAACTGTATTTGGTAAAACCTTTTAGAATTTTTGATGCTCTTCAACATCGTACTTTATTTGGCCTTTAAACTTTTTTAATTCGAGCGTGTCAGGTGTACAAAATAATAAGTCTTGTACACGTATCTTTTATGAGTTTTTTTTTTACACTGATGGTATAAGCTGTCATATTGACCGAATTGTGTTCACTTGGTACTTATGGCATGAGCTGATATGTTAACTGATTAGTGTTCACTTGATACTTATGGCATAAGCTTTCATGTTGAGTGATTTTTGATCATTTGATACGTTGTGCTTTATGTTTTTAGTGTTATCTCTAAATTTTTAAAGACTTATTATAAAAATGTGATGTTTGTCTCATTCAAAACTCATTCTGTTAATCTACTTCATTTTTGAAACATAACGAAAAAGAATTGATATGGTATTTCAATTCAGAACACAAAATCACTATGCGCTATTGCTTGTTCCTAATCGGAAACGTTAGTTATTGTCCTTCCACGGTTGGATAATGCATTTAATTTTGCAAGTGAATTTGATACCACCCTTGTATTATAGACTGTTTTTCTTTAACGCTTTCGAAGAATCATATGCTATCAAAGTAGACAAAACATTAATATACTAATTTGCATTAAAAGCAGCAAAGGTTGAAAAATGCACAATTACCTTGTATACACAGTTTGGGAAAATTTTAGCGGATCTCTTCGATTTTCTTAATAATCTTTTCTTTGGTAAAGGCTTCACTGTGGGTTGGGGCACACGAGACTGTTCCTCAAGAACATCAAAAATACTCGCTATAGTTTCAGTACATTCCTGTTTAGTTTCAAGATTCTGAAATAGTTTCCAACTTTTTGGGTCAACTGCTAATGCTGTTTGTAAGCGTGATATATCATCATTTTCCACGTAATACTGCAGACAAATTATGCACGGATGATTCACCAATATTTTTTGAAATCTTTCTATTTCCGACTCGTTGTCAAAGAATTCTATCATACAAGGACTGCATAGTACTACTACCAATTTGTATGTAGATAATTCTGTCAAATCAGCAATCTCTCCGATGTTTTGAAAGTTTATCTTTAATTCTAAATTTCCTTTAAGAAATAACTCCTTAAGGTATTCCGCAAAGTCTTCGACATCTTCACAGTTTAAAAGAACACAAATGTCTTTCATTTTTACTTCCTTAAAATGAACATCATATTACTTAGCGCAGCAGCATTTTAATAAACATTGTACTCCTTCTTCTTTTTTACATCACACTCTTACACAAACATGATGTGTTTTTTTTCTGTAATAGAAGGTATGATTAAGCATCATTTCAAAATATCTGTAATTCAGAATATCATATGAGGTTATGTTTGTAGTATACATAAATATAAATCGCTCTTTACTTGACATTGTCCCTTAATAAAAAAAAAAAAAAAACGGTAGGCATTACAGTAAAACGTTCTGAAATCCATGAGAAGGTTATTTTCATGCACGTAAATAACTTATTGTTAACGATTAGTATTGTACAATTGTGTTCAATCATTTAATTACAGGTCGATTTTTTTCACTGTTTTCTGCTTTAAAATTCTAAACAATATAAAAATAAGAAGGTGTGGTATGATTGTCAATGAGACAACTCTCCACAAGAGACCAAATGGCACAGAAATTAACAACTATAGGTCACCGTACGACCTTCAACAATGAGCAAGTTTATTCTGGATATTTCACAAGATCTCCTCTATAATATCCTTTTCACATTTTACACTTTTTCCCTGTATGCTGGTATTGGGTATTCAGCTTATTCGTAATACATGAAACAGAATCAGTTGAAGATTCTGGCTGGCCTCTTTTTTTCAGGATCTTCAGAACTTAGCAGATATATTCCTTTGATATGTTTTTCAATACGTTGGTGTCGATCGGATATTTAAAATGACCGTAAGTGGAGGCTAGCTGAAATAGGAAACAAGTGGAAAATAACAGTTTCGGTTTCTTTATCAAGTTCAGAAAGAGAGAAAAAAAAACCATGCAGGTATGATGTAAGGAAGTTATAATGACTGATGTTACTTTACAAACTTTCCAGTTAAAGGTCAGCTACAAGAACCACTGAATTGATTGAAACGAGATAAAGATCATTTACAAGTGTTTATACATACCAATTAAAAATTTTAAACGGTTGCAAAATTGACATTGAAGGGGCAAGTTTTTCTCAAATACAGATGATGTGAGATAAAAAGAAAACATGAAGGAAAGTTAAACAGAAGACACTTGACACTAACGGTTAGGTTGGTGCCTCTGAATGGGCCAAGAGGCACACAAGCAACAAGATGGTCATATTTGTCCAAAGATTTTTTTTTAAGAGTAACCAATAAACGGATTGTACTGAAATTGCCACATGTCCCTTTGTAGGTCTGTGCTATAAGTGCTGTTGAAATTTACAATCGCCCCCTCCGTAGGTCTAAGTTAACATTGTATAGTTTGTTTGAGTTTTATACATCTTCAAAAATATATAATAAAAAATCCTAATTTTATATGTGGTAGCTGAATTTGCACCTCGTCTTTTTGTTATCGTGAAACGAACTCAGGTTTGCCATAATTTTTTGTCAATTGATTAAAAAGTGTCCTATTAGCTCATTATAATTAATATGTTTTTCACAATCTTATCTATACAGAGGGGATATAGTTTATGACAATCCAACTATACAGAGTTTATGACATTAACAGCCATTTAATTTACAATAGAAGTGCCAATCAGTCAATATAGAATTGAATAATGTTTTCGTAACACTGCATTCAATTCTTAGATTTACAGATTTTCGAAATAAAAAAGATATACTAGTATTTTACAACATTTTGAATCTGAACGTAAAACTTTGAACACAAAACTTAAACAGAAATTGTCTAGCGAGATGAAAGCAGCATCATTCCAAGCGAAATCAATTATACGTCATATAGCTGAAATTGGCAAAGTGAAGATGTCGATTTCAAAGTAGTAATTAGGAAAATATTTGTTAAATTTTCAGTAACTATTATAGATTTATATCATATGATGATATAGCTATTTTTTTATATATATTTATATCAATTATTCATATTTAGAAGATATACTGTCAACTACCTTCGTATATTGAACACCTACTGTAAATATGATCTCCTTTGATATTAAAACTATAATAAAAGTCTATGTTGTTTAGAATCATGGATTGAACACCTGACAATTTGCAGTCATTTTCAGTGTATGCACTTCGATCTAGACTGTGTTAATAAAATTTTTACCAAAATTATACCAAATGGACATCTTATTTTTATATCTGTTTTTATCAAGTTTAGCAAATACTCGGAAAGTAGATGTAAGAGTTTGTATACAACAGAGATAAAGATAAATATATAGTGCAACATAAACAACGTAATTTAAAAATCTAAATTTTCTAATAATTTATTTTTTCGAAGATTGTATACACTCAAACGGACAATAACTAATGACAAGGTCACTGATCACATGGGGCAATATTAGTTCAGGCTATAACGACAAGGTCGCTGATCACATCGGGCAATATTAGTACAGGCTATAATATTTCGTTTGACTTCTATAAATCTTTAAAAAATGATTATTAAAAATCAGATTTTGAAATAACGTTCTTTATTTCGTAGTATATATTTATCTTTGTAAAAAAAAATGCTCATACACTGTTAGTTTAAAGGTCTAAGTAATTATGAACAACAATTCCATGAAAGGATAACTTTAAAAAATCTAAAAGTTAAAACGTTTACGATGATAAATCGTTCAACACGGAAAACAAAATACACAGTGAGTGCGTTGTATGTTATATATAGGTGTTGTTCAAACTAAAACAGGAAATGAATTTTCTACTCTCTTTTTAAATGCAAATGTCAAACCTTTAAATGATGATTACAGAACTTGCATTGAGTTAATAATCAAAGAGAAAAACTATTCTGTGAGCCAGACATTTGATTTTGCTAAAAATCAAATTATTTTGCTTTAGACAAAATTATCTGTCAAAAAAGAGAAAATGTTAATGTTTTTATGAGCTGTTTCAACATTCTCTTCATGAACACAGTTAAACTAATAGGACTTGTCTTTTGCGACTAACTGTAGTTGATAACTTTCAATCTAGTTTTTTTGAATTTTCAGAGCGAGCAGAAATAAGAAAATTCATAAATAATTTCGTAGACAGGGAATTGGTAATGGATTTAAGAACACAAGAAAAAGTGACAGCTTTGCTCTACATCGACTATCTATCTATATTGAGAAAACTATTAATGTAACAAATGATTTTCGCAATAACTGTAACTAATGAAATAAGAAATTTAAAAAAAAAATTTCAACATCATGTACTCTTTATGGAAATCCAAGGTGTCTTGTGTAGAAATGTAATGAATAAGTAAGCCAAGCTGAAAATTTTGGTAAATGTGATTTAGTCAATACAGTGGTCAATAGTTTTTGAAGATATCAAGCTCGAAGTGGTGGGAATCCAGGATTTTCAAATCGGCGGAGATGCCATCTGAAAGGTTTGCCTATAAGGAGGGAAAATATACTGAAAAAACTCATCATAGATTCTACGATTATTTTTTTTTCGCAAGACGCACGAAACGTTTCGTCTACGAAATACTCATCAGTGAATCTCGAATCAAAAAAAATTAAAACAGCAAAATAAAGTACGAAATTGAAAAGCATTGAGGACCCAAACTTCTTAAATAATTTTCCAAGTACAGATTTTAGTTTGTAATTATGGCCATATCAATGATAATTCATGTCAACACAGAAATGCTGACTACTGGACTGATGATACCCTCAGGGAGGTAACCTCCACCACCAGTGGTTGTAAATAAACTCATCATAGATACCATGGACCATGTCAATAAAAGTATCCTAGGATATGTCCTCAGATATGTCTTAAGACATTATTTAGGATGGTATTAGGACGTGTCTGAGAACTGTCTTAGGATGTAAACAAAGCTATCTAAGGACAGTTCTTACTACGCTTGTCATAAGACCACCCGAACACATTTATGTAATTAATAAAAATATGTAGAGAATCAATTGAAATATATTTCAATGTATTTCAGTATATCTATAAAGGCAGGGTTGTATCTTTGATGAAGAAGAAATAAATTAACGCAAAATAAAGATTTAATATAATACTAATAGATCTGTTATTGTACATTATATATATATATTACAAATGATAAATAAATTTCATACAGCAACTAAACTTAATGTCACAAAATTTTGTTAGAGGCTATTATCGTGCAATTTAAAATATGTAAAATAGTTTTGTCCTTAGTTCCAATCGATTTCATTACATGTATTGAATCAGCCTTTAATTAGTTCGAAAACAAAACAAATTTTTACTGAAACCAAAGATCAAATGTTTTCCACATTTCAATTATTGTATTTCCATTTGATCAGGTGCAAAAAATGTTGCTAATATTGATAAAATTTTAAGCTTCAAAAAAGGGCAGCACGAATTAGTGTAAATGAGCGTAACGATATGACATCATCAAACATACTTTTTGGATGCCCATTTCAGATTATTTCGTATTAGAAAAGAAATGTTAGTTCTTCACCAAATGACTCAAGAATATCTCAATGTATTTAGATATTTGAAACAGGTTAGTTCTATTACATTTGTTTTTTGGTTCCAAAAACTAGAATTTTTTTTTTTGAATTTTATACGTTATGTTTTATATATGTATATGATGCTGCGGCTCTTTTCACAAAATATCTGAAGAGTAAAAATACGCATAAGTCATACACATTTCAGTATAACTTACTTTGTTGTTTTTATTTCGACTTAGGACATCGTAACTTTTAGGACTATCCTAAGACACCTATGTATATATCCTAACTTTAGGACCAAATTTAGGACATATCGTATATTTTGAGACTTTTGTTAACCCGACTTAGGACTAAGACGTGTCCTACGACCATCCTAAGACACGTCCTAGTCCTAAGACAGCTTCGCTGACACGGGCACAGAAGATCAGTGACACTCGAATAAAAAAAAAGTTAAAAAGGCCGAAATTACAATTGTCCAGCCATCTAGGTCCCTGGGACGATCGATAGTAAACCGTGATTGTAACTCTGGTAATATATGCAATCATACCAATGCCCCCAAATGCCTCCAATTATTTTGATCATAGTAAACCATAACATAACAAATGACCATAACTTTTTTTGTTTATCTTAAGTATAACAGACTGAAAAGCTTCCTTCTACTAGAACACAACCATATGTAATGTACGGCAGACTATTAGTATGTGACAGTTTTCTTTATTTATCAATCTCAGGTAAATTTATTTGTCAAAGTTAGGTACTATCTAGGTGATGTGAATCATTCACTTTAAATACACATGTAAAGAGATTAGTTTGACGTCGACTTATTGTGTTGTGTGTATAAGTGTACTATTTAGTTTGACCTTATCTAATATTGCTCACAAAGTTAAATTATGTTTTAAATAAGAAAACTCACCATAAACGCTAAATTCAGACAGTAAATAATTTCCATCTAGACATGAAGTAGCTTGCATGTTTTTTTCTTATTGAAACACAAACGAGGAAGTAAGAGATATGTGTCACATGAGTAAGGGAACGGAAGGTATACTTCATTCATAAACATGTTAAAGAAAACGATGTACAATTCGTTTTATTGTAGCGTTATTTCTTGGAAAAAAATTTTTGCAATGGGCATGTAGTTTATTTTGCGTAGGTCAAACTCTAATGGATGCTATTCTCATAGAAAATTAAAATTTACATAAAACTCTGGATCATATGAAAACAAAAATCAAAACCAAGAATAAATACTCTCGATCTACCATGCATGCTTATTGGTTTGATTAACTTGAACGACGATCTGTTGACAAAAAAGAAAGATAGTTTTAGATATATTCCAACATAAAATTCTTGAAGATAAGTTACATAAACTCATCTCTTATTTGATATTTTATACAAATCGGTACATGTTCACAATACTAGATGTGTATGTCATTACAGTCAGTCTAAAGTCCGTTTAATAATAAATAGCTTGACAAATTTAAAATACTTCGAATATTTCAATCATTTTACAAAACAATATCACAAATTTAGCCTTATCTAAAATAAATTACACTATACGTGAATTCATACCCTTGCAGGTACCTCATTAAAATTATTGCATATAAGATAAAATACTTACTAGGAAGTAGTTTGAACGAAATCTTCTTCCGTCTGATTGATCATCTGAAGTGTCATACACATTAATTTTATATATATAATATTATTTACAAATCAATGAAAATAAAAGAATGATGCATTCTATTCTTGAAAAGTCTTACAAGAAATCATTGTTGTAATGAAACGAGATGTCTATCGTACACAGTACTGATAGTATAGTCATTTTAGCACCTGCCCACAAGACCCAGTGAGTCACTACTTTGCGGGAGTCATTAGTAAAACTACTTTTCACTGCATCTTCCGAACCCACCAGCCTGTACAAACTTTACATGAATAAAATTTCGTCAGTCTTATTTGAAAGTTCCTTCATGGGAATAATCATATATTTTGCAAAACATTCTCATTTGATGTTGATTTTTTATATATAGAGCGGGTCGTGGGTTCGAACCCCGGCCGGGTCAAACTAAAGACTCTAAAATAGGTATTTGCTGCTTCTCCGCTAAGCACGCTGCATTAAGGAGTAAGCTCGGAGTCAGAATAATTTGTCCGGGTAAGGTGACATGTCTCCCTGCGGACCGTTACCTTGTGAACTAGCACGTTCAAAATCCGGCTCAGCGTGTCGGTCTAGTACACAGCAGGGTGAATATTCATATTACATTAACATGTTCTCGTCCTGAATATGCATATTGATTTGCCGCTGGACGTTATGCAACCATTTTATCATCACCTTATATATAGACCGGTATTACTATGAAACTACTAGGCAAATTTTAACCAAACCTGACAGAAATGATGTATGAAAGACATTCTACAATGGTCTTCATTTAGCTAAGGTTCTGATCGGACAAAAACACGACCTACCAGATGCTATTCATCCTGATTGATCTTTTTAAAAAAAATCTTCGGGGATTGATGAAAGCGATCCGTCAGGAGTGATCTTGTAGTTATCTTCTCTTGTTGAAATAAAATTTCACAGAAACAATGGTCGGCATTATCATAGATACCAGGTGAGCGCTATAGGCTCTTAGGAGTTGTTAAATTTTTGTTTATACATAAGTCCAAAAAGGAACAACTTCTTGTATGTTTCAAATATTGCATTCTTTTTCTGAACGAACAAGCGTAAATACACTTTTCAAAGGAACCATAGCATTATAGGTAATAGATTTCTGAAAAAAAAAGCAAACAAATTACATATTGAATGAGTTAACACAACAACAAACTATGGCGCATAGTGGCACCAAAGTAAGAGCTTTATTTTTCATGGAATTTTGGGAATAGATATAAGAAAGCTTCTCTAAAATCGTTTTCTCTCCCGTCTTGCAGAAAATTTTGAGAAAAAACTTGAAATATTTTAATTTGTAGACTGTCCATTTATGTCGACTTAAACAATTTTATATATAGTTTATATAATAATATTCTGACCTGAAAATTAAAGTTCGAATATTTTAATGCTTATATGATATTATGTTGTGCTATTAATAAAAGCATACCAATTGGTTTTAACGAGATTGTCGTAACCTGTATCAAATGACTACACATATATTAAAAATAATTGTATCACACAACACTTTCACTATCTAACTTGATAAGCTTTTATGAGATAATTATAAAAACCCGTGTATAATCAGTATTAATTTTGTACATCAAGTTGCATAAGTTCATTTATCGATGACAAATGGAGAGATCAAGTAAGTAATATTGAACTTCGGTCAGTACTACTTATGAATTAATCATTTTTGTTTGGTGGTTTCTTTCTGTTGTTTTTGGTTTTATTATTACTATTTGTTGCTGTTTGACATAAGAAGATAAAAAAGTTGGAACAAATTGTGCAATTCAAAAGTCCACCAATCCCTAGAAATCTGCATAGACCGTAGGTTTGAAATATATAAATCACGGAGGTACTGACAGAACAAAAGCACGATTTGGGACTGCCAATCTTATTTTCCAAATCGGATTTCTATACTTTAAACTTGTAGACAAGGAAATAATGCGAATTCTATATCTATCATATCATTTAGTAATCAGATTTACAATTTTGGGGTAAAATCATGACCAAGTCGCATACGGGATCTGGAAAATTGAACATATGCGGAAAGTCTAAGAAAATAGTTATCTTTAGGAGGATTTTCGATAACTTATCTTGACCTATTTGTTTGTAAAAATTTCCTTTGTAAGGAGGACTTTATCCTCTTTATTTACAGCATTTCTAAAATTTTATGTATATCTTTCATAAACAAAATTTACTTCTAGACGGATGCAGAAGTCCAATTAGAAACCAATTTCATGTATTATAGTGCGGGAGCGTTTTTTCTGAGTAAAATGAAAATGTGGGGGTAGGTTGAGAACTAAACTTTGAAACAAAAGGAATGGTTTTAATATTCTCATTGTGAACTTTCTATTATATGCAACGTCATTCTAGCCACAATAACAAATGGAATATATGTAACCCATTTGATACTAAATTCCATATCTTGCGTCTTTTCCTTGATGGAGGGTTGCTACTTACTGGGTAGCTATTGAACGAAAGGTTCTTAATGGTAAACGTCCAATTGTATTTGTAATATTTGTATTTTTATCCATCTGATGAGTTAAGCCTCTTTCAACTGATTTTTATAGTTCGTTCTTATGTTGTACTGTTACACCACTGACCCAGGTTAGGGGGAGGGTTGGGATCCCGCTAACATGTTTAAACCCGCCACATTCTGTATGTATGTGCCTGTCCCAAGTCAGGAGCCTGTAATTCAGGGGTTGCCGTTTGTTTATGTGTTACATATTTGTTTTTCGTTCATTTTTTGTACATAAATTAAGCCGTTAGTTTTCTCGTTTGAATTGTTTTACATTGTCATTTCGGGGCCTTTTATAGCTGACTGTACGGTATGGGCTTTGCTCATTGTTGAAGGCCGTACTGTGACCTATAGTTGTTAATTTCTGTGTCATTTGGTCTCTTGTGGAGAGTTGTCTCATTGGCAATCATACAACATCTTCTTTCTTATATTAAGTACTGTTTTGAAAGTATTACGGACACCATCACGATTTGTTGACTTGGATAGCTGTGTAACACATACCAACGGATGTTCCACTTCTCGTTTAAGAAGCTCTAGTTTGTAGCGTTTTCTGGAGTGTTGTTTGATTGTTCGTGGTTTTTCTATTTGCCATGGTGTTGCCTGTCGTTCTTCGGCATATGATTTTTGATTCTTCTTTGTGTATCTTCAACTTTTAAACGCAATTAATATCTCAGTTATAATGTCTCTTTTTAAATAATGTCATGTCTCTTTCAGACCTGATATGGGCTGTACGCCAAATATCAATAATACATTATATGTTATACATTGCTGTTAGTATTTAATCAAGAGATGTGTATTATATGTTACGTAATATTGGATCAAAATTATATCACTTTGGAGAATGTGTCGTTGTGTTATTTTTTGTACCAGATACCTGTATAACATTCATGAAAGACTAGATAAATTGTTTTTTTATTTGATAGATTTTTATACACCCGTTACGGGACGTATTATGGTATACCGTTGTCCGTCCGTCCGTCCGTCGTCAACATGTCGGACAATAACTCAAAAATGCTTTAACCAATTTGCATGAACCTTTAGTGAATTGTTTATATCTATTGATGTGAGCTCCCTTTCGATTTTTAAAAATCTTAGATTTTACGTTTCCGAGTTATGGGGTTTTATTCATTAAAAAGGGGGGTTTTCCAGTTTTTGTGACAATAACTCAAAAACACTTTTACCAATTTGCAAAAAAAACTTTGGTGAATTGTTTATATCTATTGGTGTGAGCTCCCTTTCGACTTTTATGAATTTTAGATTTTACTTTTCCGAGTTATGGGATTCTATTCATAAAAGAGGGGTAATTTTCCAATTTTCGGACAATAACTCAAAAGTGCTTTGAGTAGTTTTCATGAAACTTTGGTGACTGGTTTATATCTATCAAAATAACCTCTCTTTATTTTTTTTTTTTTTTTATAAGTTTCTGATGAGGAGTTATGGAATTTTATTCTTTAAAAAAGCGACGGGTGTATCATGCGCTCATGGCGCAGCTCTTTATTATAACAATACTGTTGTCATTTAACGTGTTATATTGCAAAAGATTTAGACTTACAGTATGGAGGTTTTCTAATCATTCGTCAGAAAAGTCACATGCTTTGTTTTTATCAGATCCCATCAAAACAATGATTTTGATTTTTTTAGATACATGTATTTCCAAATTGGTTACTGTTCACTTTTTTTGGACAAAAATCCGAAACTAAGAAACAAAATTGCCCGATGCCATGCTTAAAGCCAATACACTTAAGAAGTCGTATCTGGATCAATATGATTGTTCTGTCCATTCATATAGCTTGCCAAAAACATTTCTTAATTCTCATCTGTTATCGTTCTTTTTTTGGGGACCTTATTTAGACAGCCGATTTGTCCCTCCAAATTTCTTATAAGAGTGATTTACTCGGTTAGTACAATTGTCAATGGCTAGTATAAAAATCTCGAGGTTTTATGTCTGTGATAGTAATATAGAAAGAAAATGAAATTGGAAATCTATGAAAACCCTAGTGACTAAATAGCTGGGTGCTTAACAAATGTCTAGCAGAGGGTTATGAAATATAAGTTTTAAAACTTTTTGAGAAAAAAATGGAAACTTACTGCATGTATAAAAAGTTACAAAAAATGAAATTAATTATTTTCTGGTTTCTATTCATGTTTTTGTTTTACCCAAGACTATGGATTTTCCTGTTCGATTTTTGTTTCAGAAGTTCTTTTAATTTAGTGACATTAAAATCAAAAACTTTGATTCAAAATTATGACCAAACCGATCACGAAAGAAAATTAAAAAAAAGCAACAAAAGAATAAGCCTTAATAAAGGTCAGTGGTATAGCCTATAGATAGAGCATGTATTGCATATACAATGTATTACTGCTGGCATATACTAATTGACTAAATATGTTAGATAAGAATGAAAGCAATGGGAACTTAATGCGGTACTTTAATAGGATACTTTGGCCGATCTGAATGGAAATGTAAAATCCGATGCCCTGTGTAAATCGTGTTTAAGAATCCGTGCACCAAACTCTCTGAGGGGTCCTTCGATGGCATGTCGTTAGACAAAATGTTTGCCCCTATCGAATGTATCCTCATTTACCAGTAGCCGTCCAATGTCTTCTTTGTTCATCCTGGTCTAAATGCCTTGCAGAACCTATTGTATATATT